AGAATAGGTTTGCTGGGGATAGATTGGCTCTCCTGATTGTGCTCATCAGGAAAGGATTCTGTGACACTGGAGGAAGAAGAGCCTTTGGGATATTATCAGCATGGCAGAAGGTAGGGACCAGAGCAGAAGGATAAAGTGTGTTGTGTAAAGGATGAAGTGTGTACAGAGGCCCAGAGTGCTGCAGTGGTGGATGAATCAAGAGTATAGACAGATTTCTTGAGTCTTCACTGCACTTGGGCTGTGCTGATGTCCCAGGGTCAGTATCACAACAGCTCAGATTGTGACTGTTTGTGGTTATTATCAGAACGAGAATGGAAGGATGGATAAGCTGAATAAGGCTCTTCACTCCTGAGATTGATTGCATCATTAACCATGGTCATCACAGATAGTGACAGAGCAGGTTTCCAAAGTTATGCAAGCCCTAGATGACTCTGGGGAAGCCGACTTCCCTCCTTGCCTGGCCTTGTGATTTCTAACTGGAAATTTCCTTACCCTTCTGACTTCCTCATTTCTGGCACAGGAAGTCCCTCCTACTCCCTCCTCTTCTTCCACACTTCCTGACTCTGTTTCTTTTCCCTCTGTTACTTTTCTATCTGGACCACACTTCCTGATATCACACTGCAGATAATGTCTCAATGCCCTCATGTGATCAAATAATCTGGCTGCTCTGTAAGGTACAAGAATATCATTTGCTGACTTTTGAACTCAAGATGGTATTTATCTTTGGGTACAGTGAGGCAGTGCCCTGTCTTTCAGGGTTAGTGTGAGAATCAACTAGTTCAGTGGCATGCGAGGATTCATATATAGTTTCTAATTTCTGAGCATAAGAATCAGGGTGGGAGAGTGCAATGGTTAGTTTTTTCATCTTGAGGTAGACTAAAGTCACCTGTGAAATAGGGAAGCTCACCTGAGGATGTGCTTTGATCAGATTACACTTTAGTCATGTCTGTTGGCCCTTCCTGATTAATGAGTCTAAGAGACATCAGAACCTGATGCTACCCTCTCAGAGGAAAACACATGGAAGCAAAGTGTGGGACTCCTGACTTGGTCACTTGTATCTGATTCCAGAAAGTACTTTGCTGACTTCGGTATAGGAGGAGGGTCTATAATTTCACAGATACTAGGCATCTTTGCTGGATCCAACCAGCCCTTTCTCTTCTGGTTCACTTTGGTGTTGCTCATTCCTTCCCTGACAGCTTCATGTGGAAGTGGCTGAACTATTAGGGAGTATTGGTAGTGGCTGAAGATAGGACAACCATTTCTTCCCTGAGGCAGAGACAATAGATTCTGCTCATGCTTCCATTAGCAACCTGTTCCCCTCACCACCTTGCATAACTTCCTATAAACTAGTGTTGTGCACAGAGTAGAAAGGACCTT